TCGTCAGTTTCCGGTCGAGTCGTGTTCCGTCAGTATCCGGTCGTGATCCGTCCCATCAGTTTCGGTGTGTTTACCATCGTTTACGTTCGTGCATTCATCAGTTTACGGTCGTGATCCATCAGTTTCGGTCGTGATTCATCAGTTTACGGTCGTGATCCATCAGTTTACGGTCGTGATCCATCAGTTTACGGTCGTGATCCATCAGTTTCGGTCGTGATTCATCAGTTTACGGTCGTGATCCATCAGTTTCGGTCGTGATTCATCAGTTTACGGTCGTGATCCATCAGTTTACGGTCGTGATCCATCAGTTTCGGTCGTGATTCATCAGTTTACGGTCGTGATCCATCAGTTTCGGTCGTGATTCATCAGTTTACGGTCGTGATCCATCAGTTTCGGTCGTGATTCATCAGTTTCGGTCGTGATCCATCAGTTTCGTTCGGAGCAAAAGGACCTCCGGTAGTGCTTGCGAATTTTTTCGGTCACTTGCACGGAGCAAAAGGACCCGCGGTAGTGCTCGCGAATTTTTTCGGTGATCAGTCAGTTTCCGATCGTGATCCGCCAGGTCGTGATCCAAGACGTGATGGAAGATTTCAGGAACACGACTTTCGATCGGTCAGGATCGTCGCTGAGGGTGAGGATACAGCTGATAACTTTTCTTGCACGGATCCCTCTATAGTCGTTTACAGCAGCTAGACTTCAGTCTAGTCAGAAACAGCTATCTTCGGTCAGCCCAAGACTTCGGTCTGTCCAAACCACAAAGGGGCAGCTTCAGTCTGCCCAGAAACAGATAAAGTGTGGACTTCGGTCTAAAGGGTAGGTTTCGGTCTAAAGGGTAGGCTTCGGTCTGCCCAGAAACAGCTAGCTTCGGTCAGCCCAAGACTTCGGTCTGTCCAAACCGCAAAGGGGTAGACTTCGGTCTGCCCAGACAGTCAAATAGTGGACTTCGGTCTAAAGGGCAGGCTTCGGTCTGCTCAGAAACTGCCAAAAAGGGCAGGCTTCGGTCTGCCCAGAAACTGCCAAAAGGGCAGGCTTCGGTCTGTCCAGAAACAGTCAAATGGAGGACTTTGGTCTAAAGGGCAGGCTTCGGTCAGCCCAGAAACCGCCAAAAGGGCAGGAATCGGTCTGTACTTATAAAACAGCGCGGTACTTTGAAAGGGAACACTGAGACATTGTCAGGTTTTGAGCCAAACAACCTCCTGTTTTAGGAAACAACATCATGGCTGATGCTCGCCAACAAACTATCAAGGCTGTGTACGAGGACCCTCGCACCGGCTTTGGCAGCATCGACTTGACTTGGAGGTTGGCGAGAGCGCGAGACAGAACCATCACACGTCAGGAAGTAGCTTCATACATCAACGGCTTAAGAGTTCAACGTGATAGGCCCCAGCGTGGTTATAACTCCTACGTTCCACCGCTCCCCATGCATCAGCTGCAAATAGACCTAGCTGACATGAAAGCTTTTGGAGCAGTCCCATACCCCTACATGTTCGTGGCCGTGGACGCATTCACCAAGAAAGTTTCCGCGATACCCCTGAAAGACAAGAAAGCTTCAAACACCGCACAAGGTCTTCGGAAGGTTATAAGCGAACTAGGAATTCCTGCTCACATCTACAGCGATGATGGTACGGAATTCAAAAAGGAGTTTAGGGAAGCCTTGGAATATTGGGACATCAACAAGCTTGTTACAAGGGGTCACGCCTACTTTGCTGAGAGGATGATTCGCACCTTGAAAGAAGCGATCCTACGGCGAATAGCTGCGGGGGTGGGGAGGCGCGGACAATGGCACCTGCTGCTACCTGACATCATTTCTCAGATTAACGCTCGAAAACAGAGTACGACCAAAGTTGTTCCAAACGAAGCCTACAACGATTCCACTAAGGCTCGGGAAGCGAGGCGTAACATGGAACTCGCAGCCAAGCACAATGCGCCTAAACGTCCAGAAATCCGCGTGGGTGACTACGTTCGCGTGCGGAACAAGCCGGTAGTGCAGCGGGGAGCCTATAGGGTTACAGAGTCAGCGTGGAGTGAAAGGTCCTACAGAGTCGCAACCGTTGAACAAACTGACATGGGACCCATGTTCACATTGGAAGGATGGACAGGAAAAGTTCAAGTCAGGGATTTGCAGAAGGTGAGGGAGGATGATGGAGCTAGGGGAGCATTCCAGCCAGTGCGAAGGAGACCTCGCCTACCACCAGCGCGCGATCGAGCGCCACCAATTGTCTAAAACACGCGATCAAAAATGAGCTCAGGACTGACGCCGTAGCGATGATGACCTGTCCAGTCGGATTGGGTATCAAACAAACACATGCACTCCAGCACGTCGAACACTCACACAACTATCCAAGAAAAAAAGAGTTCAGGACTGACCTGTCCAGTCAGCTTGGGCATCAATCAAGAAATGCTCTCCCGCAACATACAACTGAGCAAGCTAGTCTTTGCAACTTCCAGTCGGTCGTCTATAGCCTCTGACGGGCACTGCTGTAAAGGGTCAATCGCTGCGTATAGCGATGACCGATCTCTGTTCTGTAACGTGCATGCATGCATGATGTCAAAGATCAAGCATCCTGACATGAGCGAGCGCGTTTGCGCGATAACATCCAGCGCTGATCATTCATGATCTTCCGGATGGGACTTCCCCACTCTGCATGTTGAGCAGGCGGTTCAGCCAAAAAACTGAGGATATTCTGTACAAGACTCATCCTGTCATCCAGTCGGTAAAGCAGTGGCCAGTAGAGGTTGCGGCAGTGTCCATGAGGTCGACAGTAGCGATTCGACAATTGATACACCTTGTCATTCAGCGGACACAGAGCTTTCTTCCTCTTCCACTCAAGGAAAATCTTGTGCCCAGCTGAGGTGAGTGTGGGAAAGCTCACCTCGTTCCCCAAGCCATCTTGCTGAACCTTCAGGTACAGCTCGTGCGAAGCCTTCATGTGCCTTAGCGGCACTCCCTTGCAACGGTGGTCCTCCTTCAGCTGTGAGTTCTTGCTGTGAAACACGACCTTGCTGTACTGCTTGGCGCACAGACCCACCCACTCCAACATCACACCGGGAAAGCTCTCATCACCGAAGGCTCCAAGACGCTTCTGAAGTCGGAGCAGCTCCTGCCTCTCTTCAGAATCAAACTTGCCCAGATACTCCGCGACGTCCTTACAGTCTCCCAGCAGATCGAATTTTGCGTGAGGCAAGTGGAGATTGGCTTGTGCAAGAATCTGTCTTGGATCCTCCCCAGGACGGCACCAGATCTGCAAAATCAAGCTGTCAGTATCTGTGCCCAGCGCTCTACTCAAGGGAAAACAGGGTTTGAAAGCGCTGTAGTAGTACCTCATGAGCATCAGCCGAGCTAACTCGAGCGTTCGCCATCCAATCTGGATGGGGCTGTTCAGGAGTTTGGGCTTTCGACCTATGGTGTGCACGTAGCCAAGAAAAGTGTCGTCTGAGACAAAAAAGTCGTAGTCCACCATCCTCGGATTGGCTTGCGCCTTCTGGAAAGCATTCACGTTGGTGTAGACTGAAGTGTTCTTGAAGCGACTGCAATCCTGAACAGTCTTGCCATATATGGAGTTCATGACCAGCTTCAGCGTCTGCTCTCCGTCAGCATGACCTTCAGTCTTCAGAACACTCCGTTTCTCGTAGATCTTCTCCATGAATGGCTGTAAGATAGGACTGCACATGAAGGTGATTGCCTCATGCAATCTCCACACTCGTGCTCCCAGCTCATTGCGCATGAAGCGTAAACGCTCTGAGTCGACAGCTTCCCGTTCATGCATCCCCAGGTACGGTACCAACTTGCGGGTCTTTGGCAACCGCTCCGGAGCTAACCTCTTGTTGTAGGGTCCAAGATCTTCCCGGCACACTCTCATGCGGCAAGGTGGAGCGAAGTCCAGACCATCATGAAGATCTTCAGGGAAATCAAAATCCAACACCAGTAAAGTGCAGCTTTGAGGATCTGAGCCCTTATCCAAAAGGTTGTGGAGCCAAACCAATCTGCTGCTGGGATCCTCGGGCAAGGTCACAGGTACGGCTCTTCCCGTTGGCATAGGCTCACACATACAGGCAGGATACATGCTGTTCACGTCGAAGTAGAACAAGTACGAAGGCCACTTGGAAGGCTGGAAGGTAGGGATCTCCTTGTGATTCGCTCTCGCGTATGGCTGCATCACCGCCGACAACCCCCCCATGATGCCTTTCCGCAAAGTCGAGTAGACCTCGGCAGTTTCGGGCAAGGAGATCGGCTGCTTGAGACTTCGCAGGAGAGCGTGCCAAGAAGCTCCTGGAAGTGTCACATACTGCACCAGGTCAAGGTGAAAAAAGCCAAAGAACTCGCTCCGAAGCGCTGACAGCATGTCCAGAAGCGCCAGGCAGTCCATATGCAAGTAGCAATCGTGGAACTGCTTAAAAGTGGTCCAGCGCATGAGGTCGCGCGTCAACTTCAAGCTTTCGTAGGTGGCATCGCAGCACTTCTCATTCTTGAGGGCGCTGTCATAGGCTTCTTGCTCCCAGACAGGTTCCGTCCTTGAAACTGCTCAAACGGCATAGGCAGCTTTCGCATGAGAGCAGTCCAAACTTCATCCTTCCTCTCTGCTGAAACTCCCTGGAGCTCAGGATGGCGAGCGGCAACCACTGGAAAGGTCTCTTCCATACTCTTCTTGCTCTTCTTCTTGCGAGTTTCGATCATGGTGTCCAAGGATTCCTTCACGAAGTTGGCGCTGTCCAAGAACTGCAGAGGACCAAGCCGGAAAGAGAGGCAACGCTCTCCGCTCTTAACTAGAACTGAAAAGGCCATCCGCTTGTAGTCGCCAATCATTCTAAGCTTCTCTTCATACTGATAGCGCAGAGCTTCTGGATCAGTACCTTCACGCACCCACCGAACATTCTCCAACGGCTCATCCTCCTCCTCCTCCGACTCGTTTTCGGCCTCGCAAGGTTCCCGCTCCACCAAACGGCTGATCGCCTTGAGAAGGAAATGAAAATCATAACCTCCTCCGTTGTGAAAAAACACTGGGACCGTCGTTGGGAGGCGAATCTTTGTATTGCAGTCCCTGCACAGAGCAGCTTGGAACTGACTTGTGCCGTGATCATGGTGCCGGACCTTGTTGTCATTGGGGATTAAGGCTACTCCACATTCCCTGCATTGATCCTGCGCATTGTACTCCCGCCAGTCTTTCGCAGTCATTCTCCAAGGTTTGTTGGAAACCTTCCAACGCCACCGGAGATAATTCTTGGCTAGACAGAACTGTTTGTCGAGGAATCGCTCAAGCACGCTCCTGTCATCTGAGCCTGCGCAATGCTCGATTCCGCCTTGCAGTTCTGCAGGGGGAACGTAGCCACCTCCAAACTTCACAGCGAAACCAGCCGAAGCAACCCAGTTCTGAACCGCCTTCACACTGCCAAGCGTGTGAGGATTTGGAGTGGTGAAGACCTCGAGATCCGCTGCAACAAAGACTGGGTGTAGCTCGGCAGAACTCCCAGGCTTGTATTTCAAAAGCGTCTCGTCGCCCTTCGGCATGCAAAAGCCTGAGCTCCTCTCAGCGATCACCATACCGCAGGAACCGGAAGTTGCATGTCGCTTGAGAGCCTCTTTGTTTTTGAATGGTTGACTGCAACGGACGCAGCGGTGATTCTGGGTGAAGGCTCGCTGACTTTCCTGAAGCTTTGAGCCTTTGTGACTCCTGAAGGCGTCCATGTTGTGAAGTAAGCAGTAGTGACCGCCCTCCAGCTGCAAAAGGTTGATCACGTGTAGAGCGTTCTGTCGAGCATGCACAGTGGGCGTGCGCACGACAGTCTCCTCAAAGAATGTTGCACCTTCCCACTCGATGTGCATCCACTTCCACACCACGATCGCAAGCCTCCCCGCGTTCCGCTCTTCAAAGCTAGAGATGTCCAGCAAAGAAGTTGGAGTTGGCAAGTCTCTAAAATCTGCTTCCACCACCTTCAGAGAACGCTTCGCGTCGAAAAAGAAGTTGCAGTTGATGCGGGTCGCTTTCTCCCGTGTGGCGCTATTCACCTCGCACAATCCTAGTAGGAAACCTCGAACACACCACTCGAAGCAACGCTCGTCTTGATTCTTGGGGTTCCAAATCCCTCTGCTTCCCTGCCCCTTCAACTCATCCGGCAAAGGTTCCCAAGTACCTCCACTCCTCCCCACCGCCGGAGCCGGCAAGCGCAATCCTTCTGGCGAAGCAGAGAGTTTCAACTGAAGTCTCTCCACACCCTTGATGGCCCACTCGCTGCTCCAGAACATCGCAGAATCGAGAAGCTGCTCGCTCAAGTATAGAAGCTCTTCGCTCATAACTCTGATCCGCTCTTCCACGCTGAAGGTTGGGTGGACAACCCATGGAGGTGTGTGAGCAAAATGCTGACTCTCTTCCTCCACTAGCTCATCATCATCATCAGTCAACCTCACTGTCCTCGAAATCCTGTATGTCACGATGGCTTTCACGTGAAATGGTAATTGCACCGCAAGCAAATCCTGGAACGATGGAGCCAAAGCAGTGAGCAGAGGGGTGAGATCAGTACTCAGGTCAGCTGCATCAGCGGTAATCTCATAATGGCGCGTCCAAAATGAAGGCTGGTCTGTCATCATTTACTTTGATCCACTTTTTTTAATCAAAATGGCTGAGTCACACTTGTCCGACCACCGCAAATCAAAAAAAACTGACTTGCGCAACGCACTCAAAGGACCAAAGGTAGCTGCAAGAATGCGCCTCGTAAAGTATCTTGAGAAGGTGCACCTAGCAGACTTTCGACAAACTCTCACATAACACAGAAACTCATGAGCTGACCATTTAACCTCGCTAGAACGAGCCTCGCAAAGCATCTTGAGAAGGTGCATCTTGAGAAGGTGCGCCTGACGGACATTCGACAAACTCTCGAGCTGACCTTTTGACTTCGCAAGAATGCGCCTCGCAAAGCATCTTGAGAAGGTGCACCTGATGGGCATTCAACAAACTCTCACACGACGCAGAAACTCACGAGCTGACCTTTTAACCTTGCAAATGATGGGGGGGGAGGATTTGTTTTCGGCTCTGGCAAATGCGACTGTTCGGCTCTGGCAAATGCGACTGTTCTGTAGCAACTCGACTGTGATTAGGCTGTACTCACAGTACGTGTCGTCAATCTAATTCTCCAGCGTGTTCATGCTGTGACTCTGCAAAATGCGAGAGTTCTCAAGATCTGTCACAATGTCCTGCACCGCAGCGAGAGCCTTGCTGGCTGATGACAAGGCCTGTTCGGTCTTGGCGTGAGCTAGCCTCATACCTGGCAAAGCCTCGCTGATCTTCAAGCCTGCGATCTCAACGTCCAAAGCACGAATCTCTGTGTCCAGCTCAGTCTTCTTCTCCAGACTTTTGGCGTTGCGCCACCGCCTCTGCAGCTTTCGCCGCACGTCCTTCTTCTCCTCCGTGGTCATCTCTGCAGCAGCTCGCTTCTTCGAAGAAGACTTCTTCGCTTGCTCAGGGAGCTTGGGCGATCCCGCATCATGCTTCACCTCAACGACGGCGGCACTCTTGTTCTCGATCCGCTTCAGCCGCGCATTGATGGACTTCAAGAGCGGACGAGCTCGGTCCTTGGAGTCATACTCAGGATCGGAGAGCACCTTGCTAAGGTAGATGTGGAAGCGCTCGCAATCCTCTCTGCAAAGGGGCTTTCGATCGAATCTGCTCTTTTTCAAACCAGCTTCGATCTCGTCCAGAAAAGCGTTCTGATCCACTGCGGTCGCTGCGGACTCAGATCCTGCAGCTACCTGGAGCAAAGCATGCAGCACTGGACGCGTCTTGGCGATCTCCCCCTGCTTCAGCAGCAAAGCATCGCGGGCGTTGCTGTCAGTATTCTTATCGTTCCGGATCTGGTGGGTGCAAATGTTATTCATCTCGTCGAGAGTATTCAGGGCCTTCAGCGTGACCTCCGGAGGCGTCTTGTCGTTGCACTCGCTAGCTTCCTGTAAGGCCTTGTCCACGAGATCAACCAAGGGCGTCTGTTCGTCCAACCTCTTGCTCAAGTTGTAATGCCGTTGCTGAAGCTGATGCAAAACTTTGGGGAACCGTTGGCTCCGGACAGTCTCCCAAAAGTCTTTGCTCTTAAGCTGATCCAAGGTGAACTCCTTGAGAAAGTCGGTAAACGGCTCGTTCGGCAGGCTCTGTACGTCGAACAGCTCCGACCGCATGTCCTTGAGCAGTCTGCCAAGAGTCTCGCGAGACAGTTCGACATGTGCTCGGGTATTTATCACATCTTCCTTCACCGTGCCGCGCGGCAAGGCCTCAGCCATTGACAGAGCCGTCAACACCTCCACCAGCTTCTCAGCGCGATCCGACATGCTGCTCCGGTCAGTCTTTATCACGCTAGGCAGATCTTTTCTCCAAAACGCTATCGGAAATTCATCATGTCTGACCAACTGCACGCATCGTCACATGTCACTGATGGTTCAACCCTCCCGCCAGACGACACTACCCAAAGCAGAAAGGCTTCGGATCTGAGTGCTCGACTTGAATTTGCTGTGATTGACGGCAATTTCTCCATTCCTGCAAAGTCAAGTTGAGACATTGTAAGGTGTGAGGATAAAATGGATTTGTGTTCTTGATACGTAAAGCTCTCCTTCTGTCTCCGCGAAGCATCATCTTCTCTGCCCCCGCACCATTCCTGCAGAATCAAGCTGAGACATGGAAATGTGTGAGGTGAGTTTGTGTCACGCGCGAAGCTCTCCTTCTGACTGAATAGATTGATATTGGACGCTGCGATGGACAGTTCATCTTCCGCTTTGTTTTCCTGATTTCATGGGTTGCAAAAAGCTGTGAAACTGGACACTCAAATCTGCAAAACTGCTCAAAATGGAAAAGCACAAGGCTAGCGAGGCTCACAAGTTCTACGAATCTCGGCCGTGTTGGGCAGACCAGTACTTAAAAAAACGAATCTCGGGCCCGTTGGGCAGACCACTGAAAAAACAAATCCGAAACCCCTCCAGACCCGTTGGGCGAGGCAGTACTTAAAAAAAACGAATCTCGGGCCCGTTGGGCAGACCACTAAAAAAGAATCCGAAACCCCTCCAGACCCGTTGGGCGAACCAGTGAAAAAAATCTGAAACCCCTCCAGACCCGTTGGGCGAACCAGTACTTAAAAAAACGAATCTCGGCCGTGTTGGGCAGACCAGTACTTAAAAAAACGAATCTCGGGCCCGTTGGGCAGACCACTGAAAAAACAAATCCGAAACCCCTCCAGACCCGTTGGGCGAGGCAGTACTTAAAAAACAAATCCCGGGCCCGTTGGGCAGACCACTAAAAAAAAATCCGAAACCCCTCCAGACCCGTTGGGCGAACCAGTACTTGAAAAAATCCGAAACCCCACCAGACCCGTTGGGCGAACCAGTGAAAAAAATCTGAAACCCCTCCAGACCCGTTGGGCGAACCAGTACTTAAAAAAACGAATCTCGGCCGTGTTGGGCAGACCAGTACTTAAAAAAACGAATCTCGGGCCCGTTGGGCAGACCAGTACTTGAAAAACAAATCCGAAACCCCTCCAGACCCGTTGGGCGAGGCAGTACTTAAAAAAAAACGAATCTCGGGCCCGTTGGGCAGACCAGTACTTGAAAAAAATCCGAAACCCCTCCAGACCCGTTGGGCGAGGCAGTGCTTAAAAAACGAATCTCGGGCGCGTTGGGCAGACCACTAAAAAAGAATCCGAAACCCCTCCAGACCCGTTGGGCGAACCAGTGAAAAAAATCTGAAACCCCTCCAGACTCGTTGGGCTGACCGTTGAAAAAAATCTGAAACCCCTCCAGACCCGTTGGGCAGACCAGTACTAAGCCAAACCCGGGGCCAAACGATGACTCACATGAGCGGTCTACTAAGGCTCGTTGGGCGATCCAGTACTAATCCTACCTGCCTGCTCGGCACGCCCTACAGTGCCTGCTCGGCACGCCCTACAGTGCCTGCTCGGCACGCCCTACAGTGCCTGCTCGGCACGCCCTACAGTGCCTGCTCGGCACGCCCTACAGTGCCTGCTCGGCACGCCCTACAGTGCCTGCTCGGCACTCCTACAGTGCCTGCTCGGCACGCCCTACAGTGCCTGCTCGGCACGCCCTACAGTGCCTGCTCGGCACGCCCTACAGTGCCTGCTCGGCACGCCCTACAGTGCCTGCTCGGCACGCCCTACAGTGCCTGCTCGGCAATGCCAAAAAAAAATCCCGCCTCCCAGCGACAGACTCGGAGTTGTGCTTCTTCACCAGGATGACCTCACACGCACCGCGGCCTGACAGGAAAAACTCAGGGGGGACGTGTTGGGGGGTGAAGCGCATGCCGATTCCAAGCAGAATCATGTAAAACCATGTCATGCGAAAATCAAACAAAATCATGTCAAAATCCATGCAAGACCATGTCATGCGAAAATCAAGCAAAATCATGTCGAAATCCATGCAAAACCATGTCATGCGAAAATCAAGCAAAATAATGTCAAAATCCATGCAAATCCGTGCAAAATCGTGCAAAACAAGCTAGGTCACCTGAGCGCGCACATACAAGCTGCTCTTCGCGTTGCGCTGGCAAGGGTCGTAGCACAACTCTTTAGGTAAAGCGATGCCGAGGGTGTTGGAATTGTTCAGCGGGACAGCTTCGATCGGTCGAGCTTTCCGAGCAGCCGGGTGGGAGGTGACTTCCTTAGACCTTGAATCGAAGTTCCAACCCGACATTTGCTGCGACATTTTGCTGTGGGATTTTCGCGCTACCTTTTCGCCCGGTTACTTTCAATTCATCTGGGCATCGCCCGTTTGCACCGAGTATTCTAGAGCACTGACTACGAGACCTCGCCGACTTCTCGAAGGCGATGCGCTGGTCCTTCGAACCATCGAAATCATAGCTTACTTCGAGCCAGTCATGTGGGCGATCGAGAACCCTGCTACTGGTCTCCTAAAGACCCGTTCATTCATGGAACATCTGCCCTGGTTGGACGTCACATACTGTCAGTATGGTACTCCCTATCGCAAGCAGACGCGTCTGTGGACCAACATGCTATGGAGGCCCTCTCGCAAGCTTTGTAAGCCTGGGAATCGTTGCGATGCGTGGGTAGACGGAAGGCATCGTAGAGCAGCGCAGCGGGGGCCACGGCTCCTGGGAAATCACTACGAGCGTGTCTGCGGGCAATCCCGCGAACTGCTCTACAGCATTCCGGCAGTTCTGTGCGACGAGATCGCGCAGGCAGCTACGACTGAGCTCGCGGAGCGGGTCTGAGAGTTCAAGCACGCCTTTTTTCATCTGTGTAGCTCAGAGGTGCAGAGCTCAGAGTGGCGAGCGAGTCAGCATGCGTGCTCAACTCGTGAGGTCCTACCACCCTGAGAGCTTCCATCACGTCTTGGATTTCTTCCCCTTTTCCAACGCCGCAATGCGAGTCTGGAGGCCCTTGCACACTCCCCACAGCACGCTGGTGAGGTGAGAGTAGTCGAGGGTGATCATCTCGGTGCCGTCGCTCCACCGCGCGGTGCCCGTCAAATTCTTCCACTTCGTTCCTGCGAAGTCGTCCGAGGCGAAGCCCAGCCTCAGGTCGCCGTTCATGTCCGGGCGCTTGTACTGCTTGGCCTCCACGGAGTCGAAGAGCTGCTTGAGCTCCGCCACGTCGGCCTCGGCAATCTCCGTCTTCACCCGGCTGTCGGACAAATCCGTGAAGCTCGTGTTGCAGACCACGTTGCCCGTGTTGCCTGCAATCACCAGGCAGCCGGGGTTCCTCTGGTTCGTGGTCAGGGACAGCTGCGTGGAGAGGCTCTTCGTCTGCACCAGCGCCTCGTCGTTGATCATGATGAGCTCGCACTGGTGCGCCCCGCCGTCCCGCTCCAGGAAGACCCGCGCGCTCTGGTTGCCCAGCAGCCGCAGCTCCGGGCCGCTGTCGGGGGCCGCGCTGTTGTTGGACACTTGCAGCTTGCTCCAGCCCGCCCAGTTCTTCGTCAAGAAGAGATCGTCCGAGAAGTCGGAGGTGTTGGTCACGGTGAGCGTGTTGGAGGCGAAGAGCTGCGGCGCGGAGACCGTGCCCGAGCTCGTCACGTCGCCGCAGACCACGCTGCCCGTCGACACTCCGCCGCTCGTGGCCGTGAAGGTGCAGTCCAGGCTCTCGCAGTACAGCGGGCCCGTGGAGGCCGCACCGGTGATGGTCAGCGTGGCGCCCGTGAGCGCCCCGGTGGCTGCGAAGCTCGCCGCGGTTGCTGCGCCCGAGGCCGTCAGCGTGCCCGTGGACACGTCGCCCACCGTGGTGAAGTTCCCGGCGTTGGCCGTGTTGTTGATGGTCAACGTGCTGCCCGTGATTCCTGTGGCGGAGCTCAGCAGGCCCACGCTGGCCGCGCCGCTGATGCTCAGCGAGCTGCCTGACACGGCCCCTGTGGACGACAGCGTGGCTCCGGCGACGGCGCCGGTGGCCGTGAGCGCTGCGCAGGAAATGGCGCCCGAGGCGTCCACGCCCGTGGTGAACACGTCCGTGCAGTTCACGTCGTTGCACAGCAGCTGGTCGCAGCCCACGTTGCCCTGCGCGGTGAGCCCGTCCAGCGTGGCCGAGCCCGTGAGGGCCAGCGAGTCCGCCAGCAGGTCCGTCACGAGACAGACTCTCCCTCGAAGGCCTGGCCCTGATCTGCATGCTGTACAGGTCCAGCGTGCCCGCCGACTGCTGCACCAGCCCGGGGATGGAGCCGCCGAAGGCTCCGAAGTGCAGCTTCGCGATTCCGCCCGGCGGCACCGAGAAGTCCAGGCGCGCCGTGCTCCAGACGCCCTGCGAGGCCGTGCCGAGGAAGGTGCCGGTGACGCCCACGTAGTCGTTGTCGGCCGCGCTGACGTACATCACCAAGTTGGAGGCCGTGCCCAGCCGGTACCGGCAGCCGAAGGAGTAGCGTCTCCCCGGCGTCAGCGTGTAGGTGCGCACGATGTTCCAGGCGAAGGCGCTCAGGGTCATGGCGTAGCCCTCCAGCTGGAAGCCTCCCACCGTGAAGCTGGCCGAGGCCACGGAGCTCTGGCTGTTGGAGCGCACCAGAAAATTTCCTAGCGTGGTGAGCGTGGGCTCCAGCAGCACCTCGCCCAGGGTGGCCAGCGTGACGTCGTCGGCCCCTCCGTCGAGGAACTCGTGCTTCAGCAGCAGCGCCGAGGCCGCCGTGTCCTCCTCCGCCGTGTTGCCGGTCTCCAGGGTTGCGTCCAGGATCTGGAGGCCGTAAACGTCCACCGTTCCTGCCGTTTGGTTGGGCAGGCCCGGCGCCTGGAAGTGCGCCCCGAAGTGCAGCTTCGCCACTCCGTTGGGCGGCACGGTGAAGTACATCTTGGCCGTGCTCCAGGCGCCCTGGTCGCCCACGAAGCTGCC